CCGTTTTTTTTTTTTTTTTTTTTTTTCCATCTTTTTATGTGTGTGTCTTGAAATTGTTTTGCCATGAATCGTTTTTCAGGGCCGGATTTTCCATATCCGGAATTAATCCGGAAATTTCATCCGGATTGAAAATTCCGGATAAAATTGGTCTGTTAGATATCCGGATTTGCTACTTAGAAGATTTTTTTTTTTTTTTTTTTTTTGAATTTCTACAATGTTTTTTAATTTTTTTGTGTGTGTCTCTCCAATTCGTTTATTATGAATGGTTTCGTGTGGTATAACCTGGATTTTGTGTGTCTCTCCAATTCGTTTGTCATAAATGGTTTCGTGGTGGGACGTCAAACATGGCTGTTGAAATCATTGATAAAACATGCATAATGTAAGTTAACGAAGAAAAATACAAAAAAGAGAAAGGCAAACATGGATTGTGTGCATGCATATGAGGCGATCATCTATGAATCATTCCAGCGAAGAGACGAGAACAACGGACACATGACAGGAAAAAAAAGGGTGCGCTAAAAGCGCTCTGAAGTTCTTGCGCAGCGAACTGCGATGATAAAAACACAATACAGGAATCAAATCAATCAACCCGTCGTCGGCTCCAACGACGGACACGCTAAACAGCCCTGACCTGCACGCAAAACACACGATTGAAATCAATCAACCCGTCGTTATGCCACAACCGACACACTAAACATCTGCACAACCGACGACGATTCTGGGCAATCCCTCCGACCGACACATTAAACAGGTGCGCACTGCACAATGTTCCATCCACAGTGAAGCCCATCACGACCACCCACGTGTACATGCGCCCTCGTTCACACAAGCGCCGCGTCCCCCCCCGTCACCCCCACCCCCCACGCGTCATCTTTTCCATCGTGCACCCCCCCACTCCCCCCACCCCCTACGCGTCATCTTTTCCATCGTCGTTGTTGTCATCATCGGGGTGGGCCGAACCCAACCAATCTAGCTTCTTCGCATCCTCCAGCCCCGTTATGCCCGCGTTGTGCCTGAAACCAATGCCGCAGGGTGCTCATCCAGGGATGCAGTCGGGGTACTCTCCAAACGTAGCTTTTGCCTTCCCGAGCCTCTCCGTGACGACTTTTACGGCAGGGACGACGAATCGTCGATGATCGAAGGACCGATGCATGGATGCGATGAGTGTGGGCTTCACCACCAGGTCCGCGAAGCAGAAAGCTTCGTAGTGGCTGTGCGGATCGTCTCCTGCCATGCGTATTATCCACATGCACGTCGCCAACAAAAGCCTGAAGCAGTCATCCACCTGACAGAGACGGTTGTACGAGATGAAGTCGCCGTCGATGTGCACACCCATTTGCACCGCCGAGCGGAATGCATGCGAGACGCAGATGATGGTGGACTCCTGGTACGCCGCCATGTCGTCGTCCTCAGGTCTGTCCTCGATGTTGGCGCCGACGAACCATAGTGGCAAGTCCACAGACAGATCTATCGTGTGCGTGCATACCGCCGCACTGACGACGTTGCACCACTCCTCGCCGTACCACATTGCACGAGCAATGTCCGTCGCAACGGACTCGAGCGAGTACTGGAAAGCCACATTGTATCCCCTTGGGAGGTTCCCGGACTTGAATATCCAGCCGTGCAAGATGCGTAGAGCAATGTTCTCCACTGCAGCCGCACAGGAGATCGCTTGCTGCAGCTGTGATGGGTCGGTGATCCTGGCTACCTTCGTGCTGGATTTGAGCAGGACGACGCTCAGAGGGACGACAGGTGCTGGAAGGCCACTGGCGATGGCGATAAAGTACTCTCTCGTTTCGTGGACGATGTTGTATAGTCTTCGCCCCTCCCCCGTCGTCCAGAAAGCTTTGTCATCAACCCAAAGCACGGCACGATCGACGAGGTCTTTCGTCATCACTCCCCTACGTACCCGGCTTGAACCGGCCTCGCCGCCGTCCCGATCAATTTTGTTCTCGCCACGCGCCTCCTCTCTCGCCGTCGCCACAACTGTTGCCTCCTCTCTCGCCGTCGCCACAACTGTTGCCTCCTCTCTCGCCGTCGCAGCAGGGGCCACAGCGTCTGAAGCACCCACACCCGCAGCACCTGTCGGCTCGCTCCCAACTGCTCGCGCGTCTGCCACGACTTCCCCCCCCCCACCGCACTGGGCAGACTCTCCGTCAGCACCCGGGTTGCGCTGACGTGGCTGAGATGGCGTGGCGGGCTGTCTACCCGTAAGTCACCTTTTGTCTACTGCAGCGCGTGTCGTTGCCGCCGGCATTGGGGTGCCTTGTGCAAGAGTGCGCAGGCGACGTTTCTCCAAGATCGCCGCCCAGATTGACGACGACAACCTTCTCTGTCCGCGTGTCGCGGGCACGTAGTTGCTGCGCCTCGGGCGGAGGGGTGAGCATCCTCTTCGAAGTGGTCTGATCAAAAGAGCGTTGCCGAGCGCTTTCCCGTATTGCAGACACGGTCGCCTCTGCCTGCTCTTCCTCCCTCGAGAGACGGTTAACGGGGGCCCAAATATTCGTTGTTTTCATTGGCAATTGCGGTGCGAATTTCATGAAAATTTTTAAAAGCAAACGATGTGAGACCATAGTGCAAACATCCATAAAGGGAACAGGCAAAAAAAAATGAAAAAAAAAACAAAAAAACACTATGAAACCCTAACACAAAGACACTGTCCGAGTCAAAATGAAGCGTCCAGCAAATTCAACAAAATGCCAACTTTTTCATTACTGATCCAAACATGTCAAAACTGCACACATGATGTACCCTAAAACACATATATATCACACAAACAGAAAAACAAAAAAAAAAGCACAAAATCAGCATAATATGACAATTTCAGTGCAATTCGATGCGAAATTCGTCGAAAATAACACCCCTGGTTAACCACGTGTGCCTCCCTCGTGGAGTCGTCGTCGTAGTCCCCTTCCGCTACTGCCGCCCAACCTTGTGCTCGACGCGAAGGCACGCTTGCTGACGCATCATCCAAACGCGCCCTCTTCGCCTTCGGGACATGCCACCGACCTCTTCCCTGCCCTTCAAGTTGGCTGTCGTTGGGGATGTCGTCGCGCTTCTTACCACGGTCGCTCCCTCGCGTAGACATGCTTCGTCGGGACCTCTGCAGACGAGCTTGGCGGTCCGATCGGATGAGCGGGAAGTGCTTCGTCGACCGTCGTTTGAAGTCCCACCGATCTGGCGAGAAAATTGTCTCCCGTGTTGCTGCAGCCTGGCGAGGACGAATGCCCCTGGCCCCCCACGACGCTGAAGATCTCTCCTCCGCGGGAAGTAGACGACGACGTACACGTGCACGACAGAAGGATGACGACCTCGGCGAGAGTGCTCCGCGGCAAAACGATTGACGACGAGAAGAACAAAAGAGCGACGGTGAGAGTGCTCCGCGGCGGAATGATTGACGGCGGATGTCCACATGTACGACAGAAGGACGGCGACTCCAGCGAAGATCCTCCGCGTGACGAGATGGCTACAAAGGCATCGACGGTGGTCCTCCGCGACACTGAAGATGTTCGTGGGGAGCAGGCGACATTTATTCGCGGCGAGCAAGCTTGTATTGCTCTTGTGTTGTCGCAGTCGGTGTGCAGTAGGCGCGACGGGCTTCTGTAATGTAGACACCCTAGTGCGAACGACATTCATGCAGGTTGGGATGCACACGACTGAAGTTAACGCAGCAGATGGACCGCCCACGACGTCGCTTCTCTGTGGCGAGAAAAGGCATCGTCAACGGTGCCACGTGAGACCACCATGCCTATCCTGCCGTGTCATTATGATCCTCCCCAAGGCGCGAAAAGACCCTTCGACGTCCCTGGCGACGCGCGTCAATTCACTCGCCAGGGACCAAAAGTAAGAGAATCCAACTTCACCCCTGGCCACCCCATCGCGCCTACCCCT